CCAGTCGGGTTTGTTTCTTCTTCTCTTCTTCTGTCGTGAGTCGCATCTGCTACTTCTACTCTTCTCCTTTGTGCAAGTCGAGTCGTTGCCAGGTATGACAACAAGATCTTTTTTTTATTATTTTTTCTCAACCTTTTTTTCTTTTTAAATCAGTTCTCCTCTTCTTTTCTTCTCATCAGTTTCTTATTTCTTCTTCGGTTGATCTATGGTAGTGAACAATACTGAATTGATCTATTTTGTTGCTTTGTTTTTGTTGTTCACTACTTTGTATTTGTTACTATGTTTTTGTTGCTCACTGATGACTGCTCACTACTATGTCTATATTTTTTTAAAAAAATTTAATCCTTTTAATTAATATAGTAATTATTTGTTTGTAAATAGTGAATTCAATGACGTTGGATGCTAGCAAAAAGAGGGACATTGGATGGAATTACGGTCCTCGAAGATCAACAAAAGATTTAGTTAGTTGTATTTTTTGTAGGGTTACTTTTAATGGTGATATTACTCGGCACAAGCAATATTTAGTGGGTGATTACAAAAATGTAAAACGATGTACATCTTGTCCGTCGGAGATTAAATAAGAAATAAGGGCTTATATGACAAATAAAATTGCTAGTAATTTGAAATTTCAAGTGAGACAGCCAGAAGAATATGTTAATATTAATGATGACGATATGGGATGAATATGCTTAAATGATGCCTCCCTCTAAAACTCTAAAGATGTCTTCTAGTGGAGGTACATTATCCACCGTGCGGAACGTGACAAAAGCCCCTATGAATCTCTATTTTCAACAAAAATCACAACAAGAAGGAGACTTTTGGAAAAGGACAGGAATTTGAAACCAAGAAAATTCTAAGATAGTATGCGGTAAGTGCTTTTGCAATATGAACTTACGATGCAGAGTTTCCTTTTAATTGTGTCAATTTAAAAATTATTTGATAAGTTCATTGAGGCAGTAGGACAATACGACCTCTTAATGAAGCCTCCTACATTCCATAAAGTGAGAGTTGCTCACCTAAGAGAAGAGGTGAAGAAAGTGGAAAAAATTGTCGATGAGCATAAAATGTCATTGACAAAATTTGGATGTTCCATTATGTGAAATGATTAAATGATCATCAATATTTTGGTGAATTCTCCAATCGGTAGTAAAATTTCTTGGTTCTCTTGATGCTAATAATGGATCTATCGATTCCACCAAAATGTACAACTTGTTTGAAAGCATTATTGAAAGAACTGAATCGAAAAATGTTATACAAATTGTCACCGATAATGATAGTGAGAATGTTAAAGCGGAAAACATGATGATGTGCATGTACTCACACATTTATTAGGCTCCATGTGCTACTTGTTGCATCAACTTGATATTTGGTGACATATTAAAGATTAATCAATATGCTTTCGGCAATATCACTCTTCAATCATCTAACTTTCTTTATAGTTAATATTTAATACTCATTAGCTACTAATTACTATAATATTATTTTAACAGCTTTTAAGAAGGCTATTAAAATCCATTCTTACATTAGTCAAAGGTCGTTGTTGTTAAATTTGATGAGAAAATTCACCAAGCAAAGAAATTTGGTGAAACCATTCAAGACAAAATTTGCAACGGCCTTCTTAACTATGAGAGCTATGCACATCCAAAAGAAAAACTTGAAAATTTTAGTCCTCTCAACCAAATGGACTTCAAGCAAAGGAAACTTTGGGGAAAGAAGTTGTCAACCTTCTTATTTATGCCCAATTTTGAAATGATGTTGTTCAGGCACTTAAGATTTGTGACCCTTTGACAAAAGTGCTTCGTTTGGTGGACGGATAGAAAAACAACAAATGAACTATATTTATGAAGCAATGGATAGAGCCAAAGAAACTATCACACGGGATATTCGTGGAGTTAAGAAGCAATATGAAAAAATGTTTGAAATTATTGACTCAAGGTGGTTGGTTAGACCAACTTCATCGGCCTCTACATGTTGCAGGCCATATTTTGAACCCATAATTTTTTTATGAAACTCAAGAAGAGAGGGCAATTTACTAGCTAGTAAGTGGGAGGAGTATTATGCATGTGTTGAGAAGATGAACCCTGATATAACAATACAAAAGATTTAATAGCCGCTGAATTTCCTAGGTACAAAATGGCGGATGGACTATTTGTTTTGGTCAGGTATAAAGAACAAAAGACACAAGGTCACCGGGTAAGTGAGTTGATTTAGCTCTTACTTAAATTATTTGACTTACTTATACTCATTAATCTTTAAATTTATTTTATTATAGTTGAATGGCGGTCATTATTTGGTAGTCAAACATCAAATTTGTAAAAATTTGCGATAAAAATATTAAGCCTAACTTATAGCTCATCCGAATGTGAATGAAATTGGAGTCTGTTTTAACGCGTAAGAAATTTTTTTATATCCTAATTTTCATATTATATTATTATTAGTATCTATACACTTATATATATAACTTATTTGACATATTCATTCCATAAAGGGAATATGCTTGCACTATCACGTCTCTTTGATCTAGTATATATCAAGTACAACAGAATATTACAACGTCATTATGATGCTCGTGATAACATTGATCCAATTTCTCGAATATCATTGATGATTCAAATGAATAGTTAGTTGGATGATGAACTAGTACAAGAGTAAGGCGATATTACTTGAGGTAATGTTGATATGGATATTGGAGCTAACGAGAGTATCTAACATCTTAGGGGACTTTCTTCAAGATCAATAACATTTGGCAAGGGCAAATGAGTGCAGACTACGTCTACAAGTTCAACTTTAAGTAGGACTCAAACGCTAATTGAGGAAGAATTCAAGGAGGAAGAAGATGAAAAACAATATAATCATGATGTAAAGGATGTTGATCTTCAAGAGTTGGATAATTTCGAAGAAGAATGAGCTTTAAGATTTCTAGTATTGCTAGTCAATTGTCTTTTGAATTACTGGGTCTTCAAAGTTCTAGACTTTTGTATCTAGTATTCTAGCAAGTAGTATATACTATTAGTTTTTGAATAGAAATATTTGTTAATACATATTATAGCTATTGAGATTTTGGATATTTATATATGTAATTAGATATTTTTAATATTTCGTATTAATAGGTGCCTCAATTCAAAAAGGTGAATGTCTCACCGTGAGAAAAACCATAGTCGACTTTTGTCACCTTTCGCTGTCCAAAACATTGCCAGGTACAAAAATAAATGTTGCATGTGTAGCTTGTTGAAAGGAGAAAGCAATTAAAGGAGACAACTCAGAACTTATTTCACCTAACTTCTTTTTCACACATGATCTTCATCAAAAAGGTAAGAAAGAAGTTCAAATAATAATCTGACAATCTTAGATTATTCATTAAGGAATTGTCAACATCAACATTACGTAGGTGTTGAACGATCTACTCTACACAGGTGTGGGCTTACAGGGCTAGGGCTCATAAACCCTTTCTTTCATTTATCAATAGGGCCCTGCCCTGGTCGGTCACTTTTCTGGGCCGGGATCGATAAGTGGAAGTCATAAAAAAGAAATCTTTCTCTTCGCACCTCAGATCAAGAGTAGAGTTTGAAATATAAGATTGAAGTGCGCCGTTTCCGAGATATCAAGCAACACTTTCATCAGAGAGAGTGAAATACGTGTTGTGCTATTTTCTTTAATCATAATGATTTTGTCCCAATTAGATTTTCCTAGTAAGACTTTTAATAAAGTAGCATTAAAGACGTATGATGAGATGTGTGTACCCTTTTTTCTTCGCTAGACTTTTTTCCGTGAGATTCTTCCTAGTAAGATTTTAACAACACACTTGATCTATAAACATCTAAGCGGGATTGTTATAAATTTATTGAATGAGATTGACCATTTAGTTAATACATGAATTACATACATTCATCTATACAAATTTCCTAGGTTTGAGACCATTTTTGATAATTTTTTTACTAATTTGGGCATAAATATAATGACATTTGAAAGGAATTTTTCGACTTATAAGTAGGATTGTCATTCACTATTGTAAGACATTTGAATATTATGATATCTATATTCTTGTACTCCTTCTGTCCAATTTTATGTGACACTGTTTGGCTTGACACAATATTTAAGATAAAAGAAAGACTTATAAAACTTCTGATTTAAAACAATCCTAAGATATTTGTGTGATTGAAAATCATCTCATTAAAAGTAAAAAGTGTATTCTAAAGTTAATTGTTTCTAATTATACTAAGGTAAACAATCTTTTTGCAACGAACCAAAAAGAAAAAGAGCACTTCATAAAATGAGACGAAGGAAATAATATATTATTCATAGTTTACAACAAAACTTAAAAATTAAATCAAATATTGATAAAAATGTGAAAGTTACAATAAATTCACGTAAAAACAAATTAACTAATCTTACTAAAATTTAAACTACAATTGTAAGACACACTACATAACAAATTCAAACTACTAAAATCCTAAAAACACACTTCATAAAAACAGTTTTTTTTAAAAAAACTTATAACTAATCAACTATAAACATTTCCAATACAAAATCAAAAGATCACATAAAAACATTCAATAATTTTTTTTCTCTTCTTCATTCAACTTCCAAAAATACCATTTTCCTATTGAATTTCATTACACACATTCTGCAAGCTTTCTTCTATTCTTTTAATAATGTCTTTAAAAAATCACTATCTTCTACAATTTTCTTGATATTAAATGTGTCAAATTTCATTTTGATGTCTAAATTATTGTATTAACGTTAAAAAAGATCTCCTCACCTGCGAAAAACTGATGTTACTCGATTTGTGAATATGTTTTCTATTTATAAAAGATAGCCTCATTTTTCTAAATAGCAAAATAAAGCAAGTGAATATCTAGATATTTTAAAGTGAACTATTTAAACATAATTGAAACCACAATACAATACAACATAACACATAAAAAAAACTAATAATAAAATAGAAATCAATATCATAAATCATGTTTCCTATATAATTTTATTATTTCTCTCTATCCTTTGTCTTGAATTCTTACTTGTCTCACTCAAGAGTCCAACTCTACCCACCCTGACAAGTGACAATATCTATTTTTGTCTCAAATCCCCTACAAAACCCTCTGAACAGCTTCTCCGCCGTCACTTACAGTCAATCTCCGCCACTATGCAAGCCCATTTGCTCTCCCCCACCATATACCCCGCCACCACCACCACCAGCCCCCTTTTCCCCAAATGTAGGACCCACTTAAGAAAACCACCCACTCTCACCATCCGAGCTTCCTCAACGGAAACATCGACTCCACCACCACAGACCTCTACCTCAACAGACCCATCTCAGCAACTCAACAAATACAGCAGCCGCATTACTCAACCCAAGTCACAGGGTGGTTCACAGGCGATTCTCTATGGAGTAGGATTAACTGATGAGGATATGAACAAACCCCAAATTGGGATATCCTCTGTTTGGTATGAAGGCAACACTTGTAATATGCATTTGTTAAAGCTTGCTGAAGCTGTTAAAGAAGGGGTTACAGAAGCTGGCATGGTGGGGTTCAGGTTTAATACCATTGGTGTTAGTGATGCTATTTCCATGGGGACTAGAGGCATGTGTTTTAGTTTGCAGTCAAGAGATTTGATTGCTGATAGTATTGAAACTGTCATGTCTGCTCAGTGGTATGATGGGAATATTGCCATTCCTGGTTGTGATAAAAATGTGAGCCTCTTTTAATCTTTTACTGGAAAGAATTTTAGCAGTGATAGAGTAAGGAATTTTACACTATTAGTGTAATGTGACTGTTGTTAATTACCACATTTGCAGGTTATAGATTAATGCTTATTATAAAGAGTTTCATGTGATTGTTTTTTAATCTACCTGATTTGGTTATATTATTTTGGATTTACATATATGGTCTGTTCGTAAATGTAATTCCTTAGTGAATTGTTTCCTTCTAGGTAGTGCTTCCTTGTTGAAAGGTTTTGTGAAAGGTATCTTTTCCTTAAAAAATTGGTGTTCGTGATATTTTGGGAAATTGTGAACCTTTTTCTTAATTGTGAGTTCGAGTATTTGGGTCGAGGGTCTTTTGGAGGTAGGTAAGGTCTGCGTACACTCTACCCTTCCTAGACCCCACCCGTGGGATTACACTAGGTACATTGTTGTTGTTGTTGAGTTACGAGTATTCAATTGTAAATTATTAAAGATGATGACGGGCGACTTATTTCTTATTTGAATAAAAGATGTGAACTTTGCTATTGTTGTGGAGAAAAAGATGCAAGTTTTGCAATTTCATAGATATATTTAATGCATCTGCATTTTACTTTCAACAAATTACTGTCTATCCTTGTACGGCCTTACTCTCTTGTTTAGGTTAAATTTCTTTGAGTAGATAAGATTCTTGGTTGATTTCCGGAATGAATATTGATTTTTGGAACTACAACACTTCCAATTAGAAGTGTATTTAAGTATATCCTTTTAAAGATTTTTGTATAAAAGTTTGTGGATTTGATTTAATTTGAGAAAGCAAAAAAGACATGAATTCCAGATATTAGGTGACTTTCTGCTGTGAAGATTTATTCAGTTATGCAATTACTTCAAAATACCAAATATTTTTATATGACACGTTACATTTTTTTTTTCTTTTCGAAAAGTTGTTCCCATGACCTGCACTGGTTATAACCGGTGGTGGAGCTAGGATCTTCACCGAATAGATTCAAAATATAAATAAGTAAATCACATGAAGAAGCCAAGAGTATTCAACATCTAATTTGATCTTGTATGTATAATGTCATTTTTCGTTCATCTAACTACCCTTACATCTGCTCACAATTATAACATACTCAAATTAAATTGTAATATGTTAAAAAATTTCACATAGAAATTCAAGATTAAATAAATTTTACTTTCTAGCATGTTTACAATTTCCTGCAATTTGCTTCTTTCGTGCTTTTGTGGTGTTCTCTTTCACTAAATTTCTGCCAATGTGTATGCACATGCTATAGTATTGTAGTTCTATTTTTTAGCGGTTAGGGCCGGGTGGTACTGAGTAGTCTTGATGGAGTGAAAAGAATGAGACTCTTCTTGGTAATAGGGCCCAAACCATTGAGCTACCCCCTAATCATCTTCTTCTTTTGTCTAATTCTAGCTGCCTGTCATGCTGTATCTCATCGAAATGATAAATTCTTGTTGTAATATGGCAGATGCCAGGTACAATTATGGCGATGGGAAGACTAAACAGGCCAAGTATCATGATATATGGTGGAACCATTAAGGTGAGATTGGAACACTCACATTTTAATTCTTTTTTGTGCATCTAAAGCCTTTTTTCATGTAAAAATAGATGTTATCTTCTAATTTTGTCTGCTTGGAACCATTCCATCCCTTACAATATTTATTTGGGATTTGTTGAAGTTGAATAACTGTGGGGAATAAACAAAAGGAGAGATAACTAGGATATATACTTGTGGTGGACTGGTGTCTCAAGGAATAATCGGAAAGCAAGTTCGTGGGTATTTGTTTGAGTTTTACTTGATTAAAAACTAGGACAAATATTTCATATACCCAGGATTCCCACAGTTAATAAAAGAAATAGGGAAAAAGAAAGGCATTGGGTTCATCAAAAGAAACACGAAGAAGAGAGCTAGCTCGTTACATTTGGAGTTTGTACCAGGAATATTTCACTTTCAGACAGGAATATGGAAAAAGGAAATTTGGAAGGGACACGGTGTAGTATTTGAAATCTATTTGATGTATCGGGAAAATGTGAGAGTAGAGGGAAGTCCTCAATATGAAAGCCGCCTTTACAAGACATCTGGAGAATCTGTGTTAGTGACATGGTGGCGTATGTGGCTCTTTTGCACCTCCTTTTACCTGATTTTCCTGTATATGCAGCAGATCCTGTTTGGCTTATTTGACGTTTTCATTTGTCTTTCCTGCTAAACTTTGTGATATAGTATTACGACTGGTCAGATTTTTTAGGAACTTGTGTGTTAATTGTAGGAAAGCATATGGTATATCTGTTATGCTTGAGTGAAGGAGTTGTTTACTTAGTCAAAAAAGATATTTCTTCATGATGATTGTGGTCTGCTGTCCGGTGCAAAGCCACAAGACCATGCATCTTTTTCAATCAAATCATGACAAAGTTTCTTCTCTTGCTTGTAATTTTCTTGCGTATCACTAAAAAATTATTTCTTTTAATCCCCCAAGCATTTTTACAAATTATTAATCAGATTGTCTTAATAAGTTAATTATGTAGTTGCTAAATCTTCTTAATCTTTAACAAATAAAGCATGGAAAAAAGTACATGTCAATCTGCTATAAACTTCTTTATCGTTCCATTATTTGTCATTGCAACAAAGAGAACTTTTTTTTGATGCATCAAAAATGCCAATGAAAATGGAGAACTTGTTATGGATGGGATAGGAGACAGAGCAATCCTAATGGTGTAGGACATGTAAAACGGGTGTTGCCACAAATTTATATATTCTTAGCTGTCCTTTTAGGGAAGGAAGTTTGGGAGAGTGGGGGACTTTTAGAGGTTGAGAATTGAAATAAGAGAGAATGACTGTAGAGATAGTTTTTTAGGTTTAACTGCTAGAAGGACAGAATGAATGGTAATGATTAGAGATCACATTAGCTTCTTGCAAGCCTCTAAGTGTCTGCTGTTTCTGCCAATGTACTCCAAGGTACAGCTGATAACAACTAGATATGCCAATTTTAATCATAAGTGTGGCCAGCTTTCTAGAAATAATGCTAATTAAAGGTCAACAACTCAATGGGAAAGACTAGAGATCACATAAGCTGCTTATAAGGTTCTGAATGTCTGCTGTATGCTGTTGCTGCCAATGTTCTCCAAGATACAGCTGATAACTAGAAAATGCCTGTGCATCAATTACTTCATCGCTTAATCATAAGGGTGACCACATTCTCAAAATAATGCTAAATAAAAAGCAACATAAAAGGTTAACAACTCGTAGACTCTATTTTCTTTTTGTTGAGAAAGTTAACAACTCTAGACTCTTACTAACATTATGACAGGTAAAATGATATTTCAAGAGCATTTATTGTATTACATGTTGTTCTGCTTACTTCTGAATTATTTTTGATTCTTTACCTTTTCTCCGATGTACAGCCTGGTCATTTCCAAGGGCACACATTCGATATAGTGTCCGCTTTCCAGGTATGTCTGTTGAATTGTTAGTTTACTGTTTTAATGTCTCGTTACTGCTGTTTTTAGCAGTTCTTCTGTCAGTTTTGCCTTTGAGCACAGTAAGTGCCTGTTTGGCTAATTTGCCAAAATTGCTTATTTTGAGAATCACTTCTGCAAAAAAAACTTTTTAGGGAAGTACTTTTGGAGCTCAACAATTTGTGTCTGGCTAATTCATTTGGTAAGTGTTTTTTTAAGTTTAGATAAACATATTGTGCATTCACCAATTTTTTCAAGAAGTGCTTTGGGTGTCAAATTATGGAAATGACAAGTATCAAGGCACATTTTACAAATAGGATTACTTAGAAACATTTTAAAAAAATATTTTTAGGTAAAGACTTCAAAATATGTGGAAATAAATATTAACTTGTATCTTTTCTAGAGATAGCTTTGTTATTCCAAAGAGAAAAAGGTGAGATAGAGGTAATGGATGATAGAAGGAAGGGAAAAGCAACTCATATTTATATTTTGTGGACTATTCCAAAGTGGGAGAGGAGAAGGATAGCAAAAAAGGAGAGGAAGGAAACTACAGTGTAAACCAAAAATGATAAAAGAACTGTATTTAATTGAAAGGTATGTTAAATCAATGAGAGATAGTTTGGTAAATATGAATTTGTGGTAAGAATATTTGTCTTGATTATTTTTTTCCTTGTGCTTCTTGGGAAAAGCATAAATTTGTAGCTTCTTCTGCTTAAGAGCACCTTTTTATTGGGCTAACACCTAATTTATTTTTTCTGAAAAGGATGCTTTAGCCTCCAAGAAGCTTAGCCATACACACTAAAAATGTCCTTAGTTTAGACTTTTTAGACAAGGTTTGAATAGGCCTTCCGGCACACGGCGAATAATATGCTTGCTTGTGATAAAATTCATATCAATGGACATCGTCTAGAAAAAGTACCACTAAACTAGGAGAAAACTTGTTCTTGTTGAAGTTCTGGTTAACCTATGTAAGTACTTGAGGAACAATGGAGGACCTGTGCTATCAAAGGCGCTCGCCTTAGCACCCTAGGGGAGAGGCGAGGCAAGGCTGTGTCGCCATTCTACTGCGAGGCGAGGGCTATGAAAAAGGGAAGCAGAGATGAAGCAAGAAGAAAGGCGCCACTTTATTTTCTTTAAGAAGTCAAAGATATATCTTTCATATTGAAAATGTAATTTTAGGGTTTTTGTCTCACTTACCTCTTTTCAGTCAACTACGCGATTCTGAGTTCTCCATCATTATCTGCAGATTTCAGTTGCAATGGTTATGTTCATTCTCTGTTCATCCAATTCTTTTCTTCTTCCTTTTTGCTCTTCCTTTCCTGTTTTGGTGACTAGGCACTGGGTGGCAGATTCTTCTTCTTCTTTCTCCTCTGTTTACACCGCTTTCAGGCGACTGCGCACTGCCAATCTGTCCACTTTTTAATTTTTAATTTACTGCCTGATTGGATTTTTTGGATAAGGGTAACATGTATTATAAACAAGAGTAGTACTCCAATAGTGTGCTCCTGAAGGAATTACATCAAAAGTATAAAGGAACAACCAAAACAAAATCTATCACCTATGTCCCTCATAAACTATCTAAAAATAGGGTAAAGTCCTCTGGATCCTTAGGTACAGTATGTATACATCTAGAGTCGTCAAAATGGGCTTAGCCCATGGGGCCAACCAACCCAACCCGTTATTGGGGTAGGGTTGGGATAGGATTCTTCGAGCTCATTTAAACTAGGGCTTATAAGCCCAATCCATATAAGCCCTTGGCCCTTGAGGCTTGATTGGAGCCGAGCCAAGGTCGGCTCATGGGCCAAAACTATTTATTTAAGGGTTGACGTAAACAATCTCATTACTATATGAGCTAATTACATTGATGCACATTATGGTGCAATATTAATGAATCTTACTAGATTTTAGTACGTCTAGATACATGTATCTCAGGATACATGGACTCAAAATTAGGTTAATTTGTTATAGACACACTCTATCCAAGTGGATTTGCATGTGACAAACCCCGCGCCCTCGTCTCCCTCCCATCTCTCTTGCCACTCTCGTATCGCTCGTGTATTTTGGATGCATCATGCGTCACACCAGATACATGTATCTTGCATATCTAGTATCCTAGATACATGCTTGGCCCGCAAGGCTTGGGCCAGGTGGGGCTGGACCAACCCTTTTTGACAACTCTAGATACATCAAAAGTAGAGTTGTCAAAACGTGTCGATCCAGTCTCACCCGGCCCAAGCCTGGTGGGCCAAGGAATTTTTTATGGGCTAGGGCAGGCCATCCCTTCATTTGGAAGGGCCGGTAAATGCTTAACCCAACCCAACCCAACCCTAGAAGGGCCGAGGGCTGGGGCGAGCTAGCCTTTCTTTTTTTTCCTTTTCAAACTTAAAATTTTATAACATCAAGAAAATGAGAAGATTTTCAAATCAAATATGACAAACAATGGTGTTGTTTCAATAAACTAGCAAAAAATCTAGTGTGATTGACATGTATCTTGGATACTAGATACGCGAGATACATGTATCTGGTGTGATGCATCCTAGATACGCGAGCTAGATATGAGAGAGGTGAGCATGATAGGAGGGAGGTGAGGGCGCAAGGTTTGTCTATGTATCCTAGATACATGCGAATCCACTTGAATAAAGTGTATCAAGAAAAAATTAACCTAATTTTGAGTCAATGTATCCCGAGGACATACCATAATTAGGTAAGATTCGTAATATTACAAGTTTACAACATAGCATGCATTAAAGTAATTAGCTCATATACTAGGGAGATTGTTGTAAGTTATCCTTAAATAGATAATTTTGGCCCATGGTCGACCCCAATCAAGCCTCAAGGGCAAAGGACTTATATGGGTTGGGCTTATAAGCCCTAGTTTTAAATGAGCTTGAAAAATTCTATCCCAACCTTACCCCAATAACCGATTAGGTTGGGCCCTCATGGGCGAAGAAGCAGTTCATTTTTAGACTTTGGAGAAGGGGATTCAGTTGTATACTACACAGTACATTAAGTTTTTGCCTATAAACAATAATACCTTATTGATATTGAGATTTTGTTTATTTATATACACAATTAATATTTTTATTTTTGGTAATTATTGGCGCCTCACTTCGAAAAGACTGAGTGCTTCGCCGCTTGCCTTAATGAGGTAGGCCCTTGTTGCCTTTTGTCGCCTTATGCCTTCTAAAGGGAACTTTTGTAGAAACTAGAAAGAGAGCTACTTTCCAAAAGTATGGGATTCTTTGGATGATTTTTTTTCTTTGGTAGGTAAAGCATTTGCACAGAAATGCACTAAGGAGGTACGACAAGTCAGCAAAAGCTTTACTAGATTGCTATCCTTATGAACTATGGAAGGCAATGCAAATTCTTAGCCATTTTAATTTTTTTATTCTAACCTAATCTAAAATAGTTAGACATATATTCTTATAAGATTTCTTACCTTGTGTCATTCCCCTCTAAACACATTCATTTGTCTTCTTTGTATCAAATTCTGGTGGAGGATGTCCTTGATGTTATTTGTTTGTTGATTTTTTTTTTGCCGTGGTTTCCGGGTATCACTTTGCGAACACAACTATCTGTACCCATCGGGTCTCGCTGTTTCAAGGTGGGTTCACCACGATTAGTTCCACGGGGCCTTGGAAACGCGGCCGATTTGTAATGCCTCCAGTGGCCCTGCTGGGGCTCGAATTGTTGATTACAGTAAAATTAATGCCGATGTTTGGTGTGTGTGCGTGCGTGCCTCTATATATGGAGATAAATGATCACATGGAGGGGAATAAAAGAATACGGGGAACGGAAAATGAGGGAGAAGAAAAAATGTGGTGTATAAGATTAGAGGTAAAAGAAGGGAAATGAGGAGTTGGGGAGAAGATAAGTGGGGGTGAAGAAAAAATTGGTCCATGGAAGTTAAAATTATTACATGGAATATAAGGGGGATGAATGACCCTAATAAGAGGACCACCATCGAAGTAGAAATTAGGGACGCATATTAATATGGATTCACCAAAACTGGAGATATTGAAATATAGCATTATTAGAAAAAGGGGGGGGGGAGGGGGAGGTGGGTCAAGTATGCCTATATTTCTGTCTTGGAGCTTCATTTGTTGTCATCATTCATACATGCCATTATGTTACTAATGGTATTTGGGTAAAAATGGAGGAAATGGATCAACTTTTGCATCTCTTCTGAGATATTTTGTCTTGGTCAATGGAAATCCATGCAACTTTTCCAGGAGTTCAAGGGGTTTGTTTGGTTTGAGACAAGGGGACCCACTATTACCAATATTCATTTTAATAATGGAAGCATTAAGCAAGATGCTGGATGAAGGTGTCATGGGAGAATTCATAAAGGGTTTCAAAGTCGTGGTTGGGAGCGCTGGGACACTTGGTTTTTCATTTGTTGTTTGTAGATATTACTTTGGTTTTCTTGTGACATAGACAAGACTCAATTGGACTACTTAGGACAAGTCCTCACTTGTTTCACTTGGTGTGGTGGAAGACGGACTTATCTCCTTAAAAATAGTGAGGGCATGGTATTAAAAACTTGAAGGTGTTCAACAAAGCTTTGATGGATTTGGCTGTGGAGGTTTTGGCAGAGGTAGATACTTTTAGGAGAGGGGTCATAGTTAAAAAATACAAAGCAATGGAAGGAGAATCTTAGCTAGTGAATGTTTAACAAGGTGTGTTTTTTCACTTGGCCAACTACTAGAGGGGTGATGGTGAGTCATGACTGTGGAAAATCTTAGCTAATGAATGTTGTTTGTGTTAGTTGGTGTTGTATGTGCAAAGAGGCAGGCGAGGTCATGGATCATCTTTTTCTTCATTGTGGTCTTACTGCGAGATTATGGTGGGATATGTTTAGGTGGTTTGGTACTTCATGGACAATGCCATTTGCCAAGAACTATGAAAGAACTGAGTTTCAGTTGGAAAAAGCAGGAGGAGTAGACGTAGGTCATGGGTATTGGTTCCACTCATGTAAAGGTGGGAAGTGTGGAGAGAGAAATAAGAGAGAGTCAAGTTTTTCTCAATTGAGGAGTCTCCGATTGCTTATTTCTTTGTTGCACCCATAGAGTTACAAGTTGTATAGGAGATTGGGTGGTGTTTGTAGCGAATAATTTCTTTTTTGTAAATTCTCTACCTTTTGGCATATCCCTTGTATATGAGCATATTTTTGGCCTTACTTATGAATGAAAATACGTGTATTTGATTAAAAAAATATAAATTGTTAATGAATACATTATTGAAGCACAATTGATGTCCAGGTGACATTGTGCGGCAACTGTGTATCTTTTTCTTGACAAGTGCCTTTCCTTTATGAATTGTGACAACTTTAATAGATACTCTTGTTTGTAAAAGCAATTTAATGTTGTTCTTGAGAAGCTTCCAGATGTACCACAGTTGTAGTTGTTATTGTTTATATGATATAAGCATGCTGCGTGACTTTACTTTTTTAGTGTGAGAAGGCTAAACTTAAAAAGGAGCTTTTTGTCTAAGACGTTTGAATCACCAATCTTCAATTCTGTTAAAGCTCTGGTGATGGCTTTTTTTCTGCTTTGATTTTACTTGCAGGTGTATGGAGAGTATGTTAGTGGTGCTGTTAGTGATGAACAGAGGATGAATGTAGTTCGTAATTCATGTCCTGGTGCGGGGGCTTGTGGTGGAATGTATACAGCAAATACCATGGCATCTGCTATTGAGGCAATGGGCATGTCACTGCCTTATAGGTAGAAGAATATGATGTAATAGTACTTTGTTTAACAATAATCGTTGCTAATACGTCCTTCACCTCTTTTTCAATACAAAAGCTCTTCCACACCCGCTGAAGACTCACTAAAGTTGGATGAGTGTCGCCTAGCGGGAAAATATCTTATGGAATTATTAAAGATGGACTTGAAACCTCGAGATATCATCACAAAAAAGTCCCTTCGAAATGCAATGGTAGTTGTCATGGCACTTGGTGGATCTACCAATGCCGTACTACATTTAATTGCTATTGCAAGGTGAGCAAATTTTCCGCACCGTTCCCTATACTTTTGGATTGAGTATGTGAGTCATGATTATTATCTCCACAGGTCTGTTGGTTTGGAATTAACTCTAGATGACTTCCAAAAGGTTAGCGATGAGGTTCCTTTCCTTGCAGATCTGAAGCCTAGTGGAAAATATGTTATGGAGGATGTGCACAAGGTTTATTCAATATTACATTTACCAATTCATTTTTAGTTTTGGTTACATGGGCATTCACTGCTGTTGATTTTGTTCTTATCAATTGACGAGCTTAATTATTTAGATTGGAGGTACACCCGCAGTCATTCGCCACCTGTTGGAGCTTGGGTATATGGATGGGGACTGTATGACTGGTATGTACTTTGATGATTAGGAGATTTTCTTGTACTGGTTATCAAATAATAGGTGGCACTTATTCCACTTGCTTTTGATTTGCAGTCACAGGAAAGACTCTGGCTGAAAATGCAAAGCTATTTCCTTCTTTAGCTGAAGGTCAGGTAGGTCTTTTTACCAATGTGGCTTCTTCCCATGTGCTGCAGTAATTTTGTCATAGGTCTTCTGCTCCTGAGTGAATTTGGAATGCAAAGCTACAGATAATTTTGTCCTTCTTTCTTTTTCTTCTAGCAAATTATAAGACCACTATCAAACCCCATCAAAGAAACAGGCCACATCCAGATATTGTATGGGAATCTTGCACCAGAGGGGAGCGTGGCAAAGATCACTGGAAAAGAAGGGCTATACTTTTCTGGTACATTGTCTTTCTTCAATATTAAATTTTTGGTGTCTGTGGACACTGTTTATATGCTTCTTGAAAATATATACTTACTTAGGGGAACTTGTTCATCAGGCCCCGCCTTAGTGTTTGAAGGAGAGGAGGCTATGCTTGCAGCTATCTCAGAAGATCCTTTAAGTTTTAAGGCAAGCCAGTTAATCCTTTTTCCATCTTTTTTCATTTACTTCGACCTGATAAACTAGGGAATGGGTCGAGAAGACTATATGTAATTAGGTGTTTGACAAGGCCTCAAAGAAGAAGAGATGGAATCCCATCTTTGTTTATTTGTCTTCTTGTATCTCTCTGCAGTAATTTTGTTTTTAATCAATTTGGATGAGTTGCTGTAATTAAACACATCTTTTTGGGACTTCAGATAGGTAAAGTAGATACTTTTCAAAGTGTCACGCTACTGAGAGTTACTTCTGCTGATTTCTTCAGTTTCAGCTCGTATTTGATCTCGTAGACATCGCTTGGATTTGCCTAGCAGCAAAGTATCTTTTAAGCATGGATTTATTCCAAGTTCTCTCGTCAGTTATTAGTGATAGTCATTTTCTTTATCTGAATAGTAACTGGCTGCAATTGTTTGGGCAGTTCCCATGTGTTGGGTATTAGGTATCTAGACATCTTATCTGTGTACAATATTTCAGGGAAAAGTTGTAGTCATTAGAGGAGAGGGACCTAAGGGAGGACCAGGTATGGCTGAAATGCTGACACCCACAAGTGCAATTATGGGTGCAGGTCTTGGGAAGGTACGTAATGGGAGATCTCTCTCTTCCTTGTCTATTGTATTTTTGTTATAGTCAAAATTGATAATTAACATGTATCTCTTATTGTATCTCTATTAGTATGTCATTTTGACTTTATTTCATGACCTTAACTTGTGCCCTTTGGTGTACTCTGCCTTGCTGAATGTTTATTTGATTCTGTTTTGAACAATAGGATGTTGCTTTACTTACTGATGGAAGATTTTCTGGAGGTTCTCATGGATACGTTGTGGGGCATATATGTCCTGAAGCACAGGTGCATTAACTTTTGTTTCTGAATTTGTTCCTTCCCTCCATTTATATTGGTTTCTCTATGTTGTCTGGTTGACCATTATAGCTTGTAGTTTGCAGCCTTCAGGAACTTGTGAGCCACCTTACTATTCTCGATATGTGAATAATTTCTCTAAAATGGGTTAAATGGATCCAACCCTTGATTAGGCGCACATTACATGTTAGAACCCTGCTGTAGACAAAAGCATGGCATTAACTTTTAAGTGGAAGAGGGCAGGAAGGTTTTTTATTTTTTGAGGGTGGGTGGGTATTATCCAACAAGTATCGACCGTTTCACCATTGGAACTTTCTTGTTGTAAAACAAAAAATAATAGAAGATGCCAGATGCTATGAGCATTCCGCTAATGCATTTATTGTTTAACCACGATAGAAGCACGTTGCATAATGCAGTTAAGAGTTTTACTTGTAAAAGTGCCAGTGGAAAGTTGCCAAATTTTCTTCACTAATGTTCCCATTTTTAGTTAGCCAGATTTTTCCTGGTTTGTTTTCTCATGTGCACCCCCTCTTCCCCACCACCACCACACACACACACACCTCGTTTGATACTTTGAGTGTGCTCATGCAGACATGACTTGTCTAATTTATCAAGTGTTAATAATGTATTTTGTTGTATGAAAAATGTGTTGTTGATGCAACTATGGATCTCCGTGGAGTCGTGGTGATAACAGTTTTAGAACATAAACATGCGTTGTAACATAAGAGGAATCTTTTACAATCTTGTTTTATTGTCATTGAGAATCCCACGTTTCAAACTTTTACCAGGAAGGAGGTCCAATTGGTCTTGTTCAAAATGGAGACATAATAACAATAGACATTCAGAAAAAGAAAATGGATGTTCAGTTATCAGACGAGGTGTTGGAACAGCGTAGAAAGAATTGGACACCCCCTGCATATAAGGCTGACCGAGGGGTTCTCTACAAGGTACAGGAATACTTGACAATGATGAGTTATTGAATGCAAACATCGTAATGTCTGACATAATTATTATATTTCATGCAGTATATAAAAAATGTGCAATCCGCTTCCAAGGGATGTGTTACCGATGAATAGAGAAGAAGCATATTTACCAAAACCAAAGAGTGAACCTGGGAAAGCCTGATGTTGCTTGCAACTGCAATTGGGGCATCTGCACGGCTCGTAGCCCTTTTATTATAGAGGTATCACATTTATGTTTTCAGGTGTAACTTTATATATTTTGTTTCTTTGAAAGTTGAGAGCTATGTTTTTCTTTTCCCATTTCCCCATTTTTCCTGCTCTGTATTTCTGGCACTCCCAGCTTGTTGATCTGTAGTGATTAAAATTGTACAATGCTTGGTGAAATAATATTTGGTAGTAGAGCAATCACTTCTACTTTGGAAATTCCCAAAAGTTTGTAATAATCTCTGAGATTGGTCACTGGCTTGGAGGTTTTCCAGACTTGCTCCAAGTTTATTGATCAAGTTTCTCAGTATTCATTCCAAGTTCATTCATTAATCTCTTTTTCGTTATACTGATTATTACGTTACATCATACCTAACCACCAATGGGGGATTATGAATGATGAAACTTCATTGTTGATTGAAATCATTGTAAACTAGTCCAATTTCGTAAGCAAATTTCTCAAAGAAATGTGTTGCAAATCAGTGGCGTGATTTGTTGTTGATGTAGCATTAATGATGATACATAGACCTGCAGATCGAGCGTCTTTAGATAATAAATTCTGGTTTCCAGTTTTTTGCGCATCACAGGTCCTCTTTCACAACCCCCATTTTAGTTCCATGTTTACATTGCATGTCCAAATACAAGAACAAAAGAGAAAACTGAGCATTTAAGTATGAAAATAATTGCAATTAAAATCAATTTTCTTTGTTTATTTGAAGAAACCTGTAGAGAGGACAAAAGAGATAAAAAAACTCACTATAATAGTTTTTTTTTTTTGCGCAATAGTTACATGAATCACTATGACTTACTGTAAAGATTAAGCTTTCATGAAATAGGAGGAAAAAAATTTTGAGGAATGAAACACACTTCTTAACAAGCTTAATTAATGTATCTTAATTCAACTCTACTATAACGGAAAAAGACCTTAAAAATAATAGTGGCATAAATAGAAGTTTTGTTTACTAAAGAACCAAATGTAATGAATTCAATCATTTCAACATGTTATGAGTTGTGGACTGAGAGGTTCAAGAGTAGTAATGTCGCATTACAATTGAAATCAATTTCTTTGTTTATTTCTTCTTTTGGTGCCTTGGAATTAAGTGTTGAATTTTAAAAGGTGAATGAAAAATGAAGAGTTGTGACTTTAATAAAAACTTGTGACTTTTATGAAAATGTCACAACCCAAAAATAGACGTGACGACACTCGTCTTATCCCACCTATAAATAAGTTAACCTAAAACTCAACCATTATGATGAAGTGAAGAAATAAACTATAAATAGAAGTCTAATACTTTGATATAATGCGGAAACTCATAATCCGCTTAAATATACTTCAAAACCTATATCAAAATTAAAAGAAAATACAAGTCTCAAATGACATTGTTTCTAGAATAGAACAAAATCATAAATAAGGAGAAAGAAGGTTTGTTGAGATGCAACTATCTCACAAACCTCCACCAAGAAGCCTTAGACAAGAAGAGAAGAGAAAGAGTATCATAAATATCTACGCTAGTAACCTACAAAAACGTAGAAGCAAGAGCTGAGTACCAAATTACACAGTATTCAACAAGTAAATTTCTAAACACAAGCTAAGGAAATAGAATACGACTACTCCTTACACCCTAATCAAACTTTCACAACTACTACTTGCATAAAATCAGACCAATCTAACAGTTCACAATTTACAAAGCACATATCTCAACAATAACACTCTAACAATTTCATATTCTCAATAATAGGCTCAATGTTCATCAATCACATATTTTAATAAAAAGGTACTCACATGATCAACAACACACAAGATCAAGTTCACCAATGATAAAGATGTGCAATGTAATGAAATTCAATATCAAGTATAATGATGCATGTCTGACCTAATGATACACATCCACAGTCTCACAGTCCGGGACCCATGTGGGATATATCTATACATGCATCCGTCGCTGCGTGCGACACGATCCTCAATAATAAATCCATCGCAGAGTGTGATACGTCACTCGATAATAGAATCTGTTGCGGTATGCGACACTTCCTTCCTCTTTTATTTTTTATTCTTCCTCAATTCGCATACCACTTATTACAACTATGTATCAAAACCAATGCAAATGACATGAGGACATGACCATTTACATAACAATACACAATTCACAACAGCACAACCGTGATGCATCACCAACAATGAATCAATAAGCCATTCTCAACACATCACACACCAATAATTAATCACATTGCCTTGTATTACCCCTTTTTTATCATTAGAATTATTCAATATGAACAAGTCAACCTATCACCGAGCTCCATTACTCTCCAACACACATCACAAGAAAATGCACGATTTTATACACTTAATAGGGGTTGAAAAATCTTCTTGCCTCAAACAATCGAACAATTACTCCGGTACTTGAGTCTTTCCCTTTCATAAAGCTTCAAAGTACTTCCAATCTATCAAATATATAATTCTCAATAATGACACCTATATTACTATATTTAGTTTCGACTCAAAAATTGGATAAAAAAGTAATTTCGAGCCACTAAATTTGAATTTGAAATTTTCTTTCTGATTATATTTACCCATGATAAAACAGACTTGCATGAAAAAACTTCAGATAAAATGGCTCGTTATTTGATCCCCAAATCAATATTTTATTCTAAGAACTCTAAAGCTATATTTTCTATAAATTATACACGTTTCTACCCTAAAAATCTGTCACGACCCAAATCGGACCGCGACTGGCACCCACACTTACCCTCCTATGTGAGCGAACCGA